GGACGAGGTGAGCTGCACGGGGACCGAGTCGACGCTCTCTGAGTGTGGGGCCAGGCCGAGAGGAGTCCACAACTGCAACCATGGCGAAGCCGCTGCTGTGGTGTGCTCAGGTAGCTGCTGTTTCTCTGCCCGTGACCTCTCAGTTTCCAGCTGTGCAGGAGGTCCAGCACCATTTTTCTGCTTCTTTCTGACCATGTTCTTTGCATATCGGAATCCTCCAGCCTCTGGCTTTTGTCAAGTCAAACGCTCAATGTGTCGGGATCCTTCACCTGACATCCAACCCTTCCTTTGTGCATCACTAGGTCGACCATCTCGTGGTGACACCACATCACTTTCCATTTCAGAGCCTAAAGAGCTGCTGAATGACTCGAGCCGCTGCTCTGGGAGGGTGGAGGTGCTGCACAATCAGCAGTGGGGGACGGTGTGTGACGACGGCTGGGACCTGCGCGATGCCGACGTGGTGTGCCGGCAGCTGGGCTGCCGCCCCGGGCTCGGCTCGCTTTGGCCGGGACCATGATTCCATCTAGCTGGATGAGGTGAACTGCACGGGGACCGAGTCGACGCTCTCTGAGTGCCGGGCCAGGCCAGGCCGAGAGGAGTCAACAGCTGCGACCACGGCGAAGCCGCTGGTGTGGTGTGCTCGGGTAACTGCGGTTCCTTTGCCAGGAGCTCCTGCGTGCCAGCTCTGCTGGATCTCCTGAACCAGTTTTCTGCTTCTCTCTGACGATGTTCTTTGCCCATCTGTATCCTCTAATCTCTGAATCTTGCGTCAGGTGAAAAGCTGAATGTTTGGAGTTTCATTGTCCATCTGACATCCAACTCTTTTTCTCTTTCTAGATCCACCACCAGGATGTGACACCTCTATTACCTTTCCTGTTCAGAGCCTTTAGGCACCCGGCTGGTGAACGGCTCGAGCCTCTGCTCTGGGAGAGTTGAGGTGCTGCACAACCAGCAGTGGGGGACAGTGTGTGACAACAGCTGGGACCTGCGTGATGCCGACGTGGTGTGCCGGCAGCTGGGCTGCGGGTTGGCTGTGTTGGCTTCAATGTCGACTCGGTTTTCGTCACCTTCTGGCCATATCTGTCGGAATGACGTTGAGTGCACGGGGTCAGAATCTTCCCCCTCTGAATGCAAGTCCGGTATCGGGCAACCCATTAATCGCCACCGCAGGGGTAGTGCTGGTGTTATTCTCTCAGGTAATTAATTATTTTCTCTTCTCACATGTGATTAACTGGTGTGTTGGGCTGTGGAAGGCGGAACGGTGAGGTCTTCTCTGAATATTGGTAGCACCGAACCCCACGCACGAGCTGAGGTTGCCCTTCTGCCTTCTTCCCTCTCTGCTCTTGCTGATGAAACCTGGGAGTGGGGTGGATGACCTGAGCACCGTGAGAAATGCTGAGCCAGTCATCTGAGCGAAGCAATGGAAGTCCCATGAAAAAGGGATTGGGAAGAAAGAGGCTTTACTAGAGGGTGAGATGTAGAATTTGTTGCGATCCACAAAACCGCCAAAAAACGGATGGGATGAGAGCGGGGTCGGAAGGAGCGACCCGTCATACAAAGATGCCCTCGATCGTGAAGGAAAGGGTTTGACAGGTTCCACTGCTTTTATCGCTTTGCAGCATGGCTGAATTTTCTCTATTTCAGCGTTTTTCTTGTTGTAGCTGACGTTACTTAAAGCTTTAAATATCCGACACGTTTGGGGATGTCCGATACAATGGCAGGACCGCGCACGTCGTCCTCAAAGGTCCAGGTTGCCAATGACATATAAGGAGTAAAAATGGGTAACGTGCGTTAGGTGCTACGAGCAGCGCAGTCACGGAAGCAGACCTCCAAAAAAGCCATGTCCACCGCGGTGTTGGGGCTGGTGAAGGGCTCAAGCCTCCGGGCTGGGAGGGTTGAGGTGCTCCACAAGCATCAGTGGGGAATCTCGGGTCTGGAGAACAAGTCTGATGAGGAGCAGCTGAGAGAACTGGGGTTGTTCAGCCTGAAGGGGGCTGAGGGGTGACGTCGCTCTCTGCCGCTCCCTGAAAGGAGGGTGGAGCGAGGTGGGGATTGATCTCTTCTCCCAAGTAACAAGGGATAGGACAAGAGGAAATGGCCTCAAGTTGCTCCAGGGTAGGTTTAGTTCGGACATTAGGAAATATTTTGTCACCAAAAGGGTTGTCAAGCCCTGGAACAAGCTGCCCAGAGCAGTGGTGGAGTCCCTGTCCCTGGAAGGATTTAAAAGCCGTGTAGGTGTGATGCTCAGGGACACGAGTCAGTGGTGGGCCTGGCAGTGCTGGATTGATGGTTGGACTCGATGATCTTAAAGATCTTTTCCAACCTGAATGATTCAACAATTCTATGACTGTTGAAGACCCCTTCCAACCCAAACTGTTCCGTGCTGGTGTGATCTCCTTGCTCAAACTCAAGAGCGCGTGCCCGCTCATTGCTCAGGAGGCAAAGGCAGGGATGTGCACACTGGGGAGCGAAGACAGGCTCGCGTTCAGCACAACTTGGGTTCGTAGACTGGCCTGTCATTGTCTTGAGCACCATGACCAACAGTGACGTCTCAGGATGGAGGTTCCTGAATATTTGCTCAACACAAATTGGAGGGGAACGATCCCGACCATAGAAAATATTCTGATCAAAACATTCCAGGAGGAAACGCTAAGGTGTGGGGAGTATCTTCATGGCTGAGTTGGGAAAATGAGGCTGTGTTTTGTGTTGGAAAAACTTGTCCTAATAGCTGGCCTTGCCCTTCTCTTATTTTGAGACAAACCTCAAGGCTTCCATGGTCTCCTCAGGGCCAGTAGGAACAGAGGTGTCTCTCCATGTCCTTCTGAGACAGATGTCGGCATCTGGGGAGGTCTCCAGGACTGGTTGCACTTGTTTGGGAACCACCTGGACTCAAATCCAGCCTCCCTGGGGAGAGTCCTGCATGGGTGCTACACCTCTGTCTTAACTGGTCACCCAGGTTTCTTTGAAGAGAGAAATGGGTGACCATGGGCTGTGGTTTGCCGAAGGGACCGTGCTGCAACCGTCCAGCCCTAGTAGGGCTCACCAGGAATAAATCAGCCTCCTGATGGCCCTGCTTGGAGCAGTTGGAGGGGTGGCCCCTCAAATGGCCTTGGCTTCCCCGGTGGTCCACCCTTGAGCCAGCCAGTCGCAACGCACTGGGTGGCGCATGGATGTGAGCGTTGATCAGCCACGACCTTGGCGCTGCAGCGCCGAGAGGACCTTGCCTGATGGTGAAAGGGTCTTAGCAGAAGCTTTCTTTGCATCTCCTGAACGATATGAGCACAAAACCAACGTAGATCAGAAGGGATCTCTGGAGAGCTCTGGTCTAATCTTCCACTCTCTATCAGCCCAACTAGACTACGTCATTCATGGCCTTGGCCTGTGAAGGTGTGAAAGTCCCCAAGACTGGAGATCCAAATGTTGTTCTCATCTGTTACAGTATTTAATCCTCCTCAGCAGGGGAAATGAGTATTTTCTACTGAGAATTTGCCACCGCACCCGTTTCCTCACGCTGTCGTGATGCCCGTTGATGCCCTGAGTCGGCTCTGGATGAAGAGATGTTTTCTCTCTCCCCACAGGCCCTGCAGCCATGAGATCTCCGCGGCCTCTGCCGCTGTTCCCACTTCTTGTCTCGATCCTCTCCTCAGTCCCGATGTTGCTCTGTGGGGCTCTGCTCTACCGGAGGAGGAGGCGAAGGCAGACCAGGGATTTTCATTCCGTGGCAGGTGAGCTCCGGCATGGGTGAAAAGGGCAACGGGGTTTGCAGAAGTTTGCTTGGAAACGAGTTTTGCTCACAACACTGGTGTCAGCAGAGATGGGGCGGAAGTTGTTTGGTTTTTTGTTTTGTTTTTTTTTATTTCTTGGTGGCTCATTTAGAGCGGAGCTTCCTTTTCTCGTTTGAGGTCTTCTCTCCCCATCCTTTTCCCCTTTCCCTTTCTTTCCACTCTTCCCCTTTCACTTTGACACCAGCTTGACACCAGCTTCTTCGCTGGGTTACGGACGTGCTGGGAGGTGGGTCAGCCCTCAGAGCCTCCTCAGCTGCTGCCCGCGCTGGCTGTACGTCAGGAGCTCTGGGCAGAGGATGTCTCTATGGGTTCCTGCCTCCCCACCAGCAAGGGACATCCCACCTTTAGCCTCAGGGCTGGGAAAAGACCAGGAATTGTGCCCGCCTGTCAAGTTTTAGGCCTGTGGTGGACACTCTTGGTGGATGAGGTTGAGCAGTTGAGGTTGCTCATGATGAACATCCCCATGTTGTCTTGTTGAACGTCCATCACCTGGATGAACCGTGGTGTGTGTGGACCGAATGCTGGATCAAGGGTGGCTTCTGCAGAGCAGGCTTTGTGTGGTGGTGTGTCCTGTGCCGCCACTCCCATTGGCCAAGACAAAGTGATTTGCGCTGTCTCCAATGGGGCGAGCATCCTCAGTTGCTCGTGTTAAAAGGGGGAAAATTGAGCAAAGCATCGACTGAATCCTTGTGCCCCACAGGTTTTATGCACGTGAGGGAGCTGGTTGGCTCCTACTCCTCCACCTCGACATCTGGAGAAGAGCAGGTGGCAGCCAAGGTGGGTCCTGGTGGGGGTGCCACCAGCGAGGGAGCTCAGTGCAGCCTGTGACCAGCCCAGACCCAAAAACTTCAGGTATGCAGCTCCATGGTCATCACGCAGCTGGCAGTTGCTGAGTAGAAATTTAAAACTGAAACTGTTTACAAATTTCTCTTACAAAAATTTTTTTGGGATGCATTTGTGAAAATAAAAAAATCCCAAACCAAACACATTCTCTAAGTTCTCCAAGCCTTGAGCAGTGGGAGGTTT